AGGAGAATGGTGACTTTGTCCCTAACCCAGAAAATAATGATCCCAAACCTTCAGGAATAAGATTCGAAATAGGAAAGATATCCCGAGCATAGCTCTGGCCAGCATGCGACACCACACTGGTCTCAAAGAAACTGCAGAGATAGCAGCTGCCTGGATTGACGGTGGTTTGATAACACCTGATGATGTTCACCTGGTGATAGATCATAACAAAGTAAGGAGAGCTCAGGAGAAACTTGTTAGTAACCTAGAAGAGGAGTTTGATAAGGGATAAGAAAATGGAATCAATTGTTTGTTCTTTGATGGGAGAAGGGATGACACTAAAGTGTTCATGAAAGTTGGAGATTCTGACAAGTTGTTCCCTGCCATGGTGAAGGAGGAACACTAGTCCTGCTGCAGTGAACCAGGAGGGAAGTATTTGTGGCATTTCACTCCAGAGAAAGATGACATCAGGAAACCAGCTGAGATAGTGGCAGATAACATTGTGAACTGGCTCAGAGAGAACGTAGACCAGACCCTGCAGGCCATTGGAGGGACAGCACCAACACGAACACAGGGTGGCAAGGGGTCATACAGTGGATAGAGCGGAAGATTGGGAGGAAGCTGGTCTGGATTGTTTGTGACCTCCACACCAACGAGTTGCCACTCAGACATCTGATCCAGGAGCTGGATGGCAAGACTCTTTCAAACAACAGATGGTCTGGTCCTCTTGGCAAGATGCTGGACTCTGCCACTGAGATAGAATTAATCCGAGCTTTGAAAAAATCACAGTTGGCCCTCCACTCGTTGAGCTTGCACATACTGTCATTGACGACCTGAGTACTGACCAGTACTATGGTTACATGATTTGCAGTGCCATCAAAACTGGGGTCATGCCTGATAGACTTGCTTACCTGCAGATAGGTCCAGTCTCACATTCTAGATGGCTCACAACGGCTCTCAGGTTCTGCAGAATTTGGGTCGCTCATCATAAACTGAAAGGGAACCAGCTTCACAACCTGAGACTTATTGTCCAATTCATCGTGAGTGTCTACTTGCCAAATTGGTTCAACACCAAGGTCAAGTCATCGTTCTCCGAAGGTCCGAGGCATGTTCTCTTCCAGCTTGAGCTCCTGAGGAGTCAGCCAAGGAAGGCTGTTCAGATTGTGGAGCAGACTGTGAGGAGATCTTCCTGGTATGCTCATCCCGAGGCAGTTCTGCAGACAATGCTCTGCAGTAAGGATGAGGAGGAGAGAAGAGTGGCAGTCAAAAAGATCTTGGATATGAGACTTATGAGAGGATCTGGGCATGACGAATCAGTTGGTGACGATTCCTTCAGGGTCAGGAAGACTCCTGAAGTCAATCTAGGTGCCAAGACCGTCACTGATCTCATAGATCTGGATAACATCCAGGCTGGCAGTGAGCCCCCTCTTACCTGCAGCCTCACCAATGTTCAAGTCAGAGCTTTCCTGGACAACCCCATGCATGTCCCTGCCTGGCCCTCGCACCCAGAGTATAGAGTTGTGTACAGCAAATTGGCCGGGCCAGCAGTCACGTGTACAGCCAGGAGAGGAGGGAAGGCTACATCGAGCTCAGGTGGTCAGCAGGGAGGTGATGAGTAGAAACAGAAGCAAGAAAAGACATGTTCTCTATGGTGTGCAGCAACACGGGTCGTAGTAGTAAAACCGGTTTTTGTATTTGATGATTTTGTTTTCTAAAGGAATATTAAATTTAATAAGTGTGTCAAGATCATTCGTTTCACTATTCTGGATCATTTTCATCCTAATAAATTAACCTGATACATTTACTTTACGTTAAATAAGCTATTTAGTGGTGTTGGTAAAAGGGTGGGAATACTGAATTTTCATAAGATTTCAAGTTAAAATTTACCTAGCAAAAAATGAAAACTTTTCAAATCTGAAGATATCACATGATTCTGCACATAGAACTACATCATTAATACCATGGGCCGATTTTTCAAACTAAAAAAAAAAAAATTCGCCTCCGTATGACTGTAATACAGTAGGGTCCATTAGTTAGCCTTAGTTACTGATCAGTAATAGTAAATCTGCAAGAACAAAAGTGAAAACTTTTTAGTATATATAATAAACATTACATTGCGTTTAGACTATCCCTGGCTTGTGGTTAACATGCTATAGTTAGAGAGAGAGAGAGAGAGAGAGAGAGAGAGAGAGAGAGAGAGAGAGAGAGAGAGAGAGAGAGAGAGAGAGAGAGAGAGAGAGAGAGAGAGAGAGAGAGAGAGAGTTCCTCTAGTGTTAGGTCATCACGTGGAGAACACTTGCAAGGGGACCTGTTTCACCCCCAACTGTTCCCAGCCTCACTGGCTGAGTTTCTCTGGGGGTTTTCCTGTCAAGGTCGTTTAGTTTTTATCCTCTGGAAGACTAGAGTAGGCAAAGAAGAGGAAGGGAAGGCGAAATTGGGGAATAGGAAGAGAGGTAGGAAGTGGGAAACAGATGAATAAATTGAATGCAAACGAAGAGACTAGATAGAGGAGCAGACCCAATGAGAGAGCGGGAAGAAGTGGGGACGAAAGACAATGAGGAGAAAGACGGTAGATGGGGTGTAAGGGAGGGGAGGTGTTAGTTTATTTATTTATTTTTTGTCCATAGACGCGGAAGTGTTGTGTTGCGTCAGGTTTTAGGTCTACTAATCACCTAACGAGGAACTCCATTGCAATCAAGTAGACATGCGAGGATGTGAGTAGGTGATGATGTAGTAGGATACTTTGTCGTTGTAAGACCTTTGTTAATGATTAGGTTTAAGGCAGAGGGTAACGACCCTATTAGCAGTTTTAGGGATGCCTAACCTAAGCTAACTAATGTAAGCTAACACCCCTTTCCCAGCTAACATAACTAACTTAGCTTAACATGTAACCTATTCTCAGCAAACAAATATCACCTCACTAACGTAGCCTTTCCTGACCTAAATAAATACACTTAACCAACCTAAAAAACCTAACCTAACCAAATTTTAACCACAAGGAAGATATTCATAAAATACAACGTCATTTACCTCAAGGTAATGCATATAACTGGTTGCAGAGGTCAGTAGGTTTGACTTCTTGTAATAATGAGGTTAATATTATGTAAAAATGGAGTGTTTGTGGTTTAAGCCTTTCAGTACAAGTGTGAAGAGCACGTGCCAGGTGTGTGTGTGTGTGTTTACGTGGAAGATTTGGTATATAAAAAGTTGCATAAGACAAATTAACCATGACCTCAAATCTTAAGACATATATAAAAGAGACATGTTTCCGAAATAACCCACTAAAAACTTGTCATGTTACATATCATCTGTTACTCGTGATCTGTTACGTGGGTCAAACGACCAAGAGACTGTAACTTGACAAGCACATATTTGGTTTACGCGGGGCGAGGCCGCCCTGGTCCATCTGTTCTTGCAAAGATCAAGTTCATAATAAGTTTTCTCGTGTTTTAAGTCGCTCCTTGTTCATCCATTTGTATACACAGGCAACATGATAATACTAATTGCTTGGGTGAACGGATTCCTTATATTGATGTTGTGGATGGGAAGTAAAGCCAAATTTGCTTCCAGGCTACGTCGTGATTTGCCCGCCAGAAGGAAAGTGTTTCTAATCAATGAATTCTATCATTATATGCAAATTAGAGAGTCTGTGTCGTGTGCTTAAATATGGTTTTGTCGTTTCTTGTCCTTGAGCCGAGAAAGTTGGGTAGTGACGCTCTCTTGTGCAAGAATGAGGGTAATAATGATTGTATCGACGTTGATGGAACCAACTATAGTGATATGAATGAATATCTCTCCTCCCATAGGTGTTTATTTTTTATTTTTCTGTTTCGTTGGTACATGAATGAAAGATCCAAAGCGGATGTAAGATAGTGTGAAAATTCGTTCTTCCTGTACATCACGAGGACTCGGTGTAAATGCATGAAATTAATCAAACGAGAGCGAGACATATTTTTTTTTAAGTCCTGGAGTGGATGAGGTAACAGGATTTAACCAGGACGTGGGAAAAGCAGAGGCCCACCGAGGTGGGGGGGGGGGACTTGAAGTGTCAGAAAATGTTGGTTGGTTAATGTAGCCAGAGGGAAGGACTGGACGGGTGAGGGTGTGGTAAGTGTCAGTTTCGTCTTGTGAGGCGTAAGGTCTGACAGGTTGACGCAGAAGGTTGAGGTATATACAGTAGTAGAGGCGTGTAGCATGTGTTATGGGGCGTAGAGAGAGACAGGCTGTTGTAGAAGGTCGGGGCAAGCGTGCGGGGAGGGAAATGGAGGGAGTGGTTAGGTGGTATAGCATCGGTTACGTATTATAAGGTCCAAGGAATTGAATGGTTGTTCAGAGACAGTTACGGGGAGTGTGAGGAGAGGGTTAGAGAAAGGGGTGGACGAGGTTGGGGGGTTAGGTTACAGCATTAAGCAGGTGTTACGTCTCACAGGGTAAAGCAGGAGAAAGGGGGGAGTGGATACGAGTAAACATATTCACCTTGGCTCTACAGGTTTCTCCTAGATTAGCTGACACGCACACACAGCAAAATAATGAGCCGTTGATTACTACATCCTCTTGGGCTGAGTCTAGGACTACAGAAGAGAGACCATTGTTTCGTCTATCAAGATATCTCAACCCTAACTCCTCCCCGCCTGACGCGATAAACATTTCCATAGTACACAAAGTATATTACATGTATATCTTGATTTACTAAAGAAGTGAAAGTTGTGTTGCCTTAGAGTCGGGCTTAGACGGACCTCAGTACCGTAACAATACCTGTGTCTCTAAGCACTGTTGTTGTTTACTGTGCGGCGGTGCTAGTTTGTACAGTTGTTAGCGAAGTTTCATGAGATTGTAGGAGAAAACAAGAAAACCAGCAACTTAACAGAGAGAGAGAGAGAGAGAGAGAGAGTTAAAATATTTTTAGTGTTACACAACGGTTTCAGGTACACGTAATTAGTTATCACCGCAGACGTCTGTTATCACGCCCTTGCTTAACCACGAGAACATTTATACCCCAGCCATTACTCTCACGCCAACAGTACTTGAGAGTCACCGTTCATTGTACAGGCGCTCATGTGAAACTTGCGACCCAGGGACTCTTGCTCAATACCTCCAGGTAATTGTGTCAATCTTCTGTCAACGGGATTAATGTGTCAATCTCCTGTCATCAGTGTTAGTGTAGGTTATCTCCTGTCAATATAGAGTTAAGGTGGGATCTTTCTGTCAGTGGATTTAATGGATGTAAATCTCTTGTTGATGAGACGATAACACTCTTCTTTTGTGGTTGTTGGAGAGACGCTCGCGAGGAGTCCTATTATGAACTGTTGTGGCCTGATTGAGGTGTCGCGTATCCTTCTCTTTGCTCAGGTCTGCTCTGATGTGTCTCAGGGGAACACGATCATCGGCCCCTAAACCAACAATATCTACCTTAGCTGAGTTAGTTAAGCTGCAGATCTATGCGACAGACATGGACTATGAGGCAACAGTCACCGAATGCTGCATAGATCTGCAGCTTAACTAACTCATCTAGGATAGATATTTTTTAATTAGGACAGTTAAGTGATAAAATCTAAGGAGAAAGTATGGCTATAAAGGGAGGTTAGAGGCCATAAAGAAATACACCTTTTCACATATCCGTTGGGACATTGTTACATAACTATTTGACAAATTTCAAAACCGAATGATAGAACACATATCGAATGACAATCTAAAATAACTGTTGGTGGTATGTCATTCTCCAATTGTTACATTCTCAAACTATATGTAGACTGTCGATTTATTGTTCACGTCTGTCAACTTGTTAACTTATGTCAATCACTTCCTTTAGCATGAACGAACAGTTATTTTAGATTGTCATTCGATATGTGTTCTGTCATTCTGTTATGAAATTTGTCAAATAGTTATGTAACAATGTCTCAACGGATATGTGAAAAGGTGTAGTAGTAGTTATAGTAATAATAAAATGGCGGCGAAGGTGTGGCTATTGGGGAGACTGGAGGCCTGTTGAAAAAAAAATCGTAGTATAGTATTAGTATAAGTAGTATCCTACACTCCAACAGGTGTTGTGTGCTCCTCTGCTGGCTAATGTTTGTCTCATCGCTTTGTTAATATTTTCACGAGCTCTTAACCACCCAGGGATTTTCCGTGTTGGGAAAGGCTTTTTTTCTGCTGTCTCACATGAGTTGGATGTTTACGGGTTTATTTTTCCATATGTCTAGAATCACCGGGAAGTTCTGCCTGTAAATATGAATCTTTGCACACAAAAAAAGACTTGAAGCCTATAATTCGCGTTTCTTTGTCTCTAGTAGCTAAAGGAGCCCATTAATTGCTTATACATTTTTTAAAAATTCATAGATCTCTCTTTTTACGGCTACACAGACCCCGGTTTCCCCTTCGGAAGAGCTCAGAAGGGGTTAAACATACTCGGCAGGCGGACGAACAGGATGGGCGGACCTTAAAGTCGCACCGAGAAAGATTCGTCATGGTGTCGTGGCAGAAATATTCTCCTACTGAGGGAACGAACAGTCACGTAGGTCAACACTTACTTAGTCTTTTTTTCCGAGTGTGTGATGGGCGAGAGGAAATTAATGTTTATCCTGTCAACATCAACTGTATTGTTCACGGCTGACGGAGGTTAAGGCGTGTCACAATCGTGCAGTCGTACAAATGTGCACAGTCTCTCTCTCTCGCACAGCCACACACACACACACACACACACACCGCTGACTGCCCTGTCCAAGGAATATCATAAGAAACTATTAGACTTACAAGAGTACGTGAATCCATATTAATTGGATGCTTGTCTTGGAGATAGAGCTGGATCGCTGGTGTGTCGGCTGTTTGTTTAAAAAATATTTACATATTTTGCGCTTCAACGTGTGCTAGGGGGCATGGCGGTAGATATAAACATGGATCCAAACGCCGGCTACCGTTGTGTTGCTTCTGGGAAAAACTAAGGAAATGATAGAGAGGTAAGGTTTCATTTCTTCCCAAAAGACAGGAAAAGGTAAGTTCATAGTTATGTGGCTGATTCATAAGCATTGACGGTTAAATTACAGCTTAATTTACCATTTCACCACTTAGCTTACTAGCCATTCGGACGGCAGGTCTCTTGTTCACTTTGTTGTGAACTTGATTGTCCAGTAGCAGCCATCGAGTAACTCCCCTCCTTTTATAGTTGTCTATAGCGTACTTTTATCTCTTTTCAAATGTACATTTAAAAATGTAGGAAACCAATTGAAGAAAGGTAAGAACGCTGTTTGTTTACATTTTTATGTGCGATATAGCGGTACGTGTGTTGCAGACCACCGGTCTAATGAGGCGAAATGCAAAGTTAAATTGACTATAACTTTTTTTTTAATTTGGCACAACTTTGTGTTGCATGTCTGGAACGAGGAGGTAGAGCTACCCCAAATAAGCTATCAAAAGGAGGCTATTCAGTGGGTCTTAAAATGCAATTTCACCAGTCATTTAAAAGCACACATAGCAGAGCAGCTAGGTGTCATTTTTGAGGGAATGTTGCAAATGGTGATGCAAGTATGAAAATTGACATGAAAATTCAATTCTATCTGATTTGACATTCAAAATTCCAAGATGGCGGCCATTTTCCAAAGTGGCCGCCAAATGTGGATGTCAGATTTTCTTTGCGTTCATCAATTCAGGTGATTTCAGTGTTGATTTCCATGTTTTTGAGTATGTAGAATCTGAATTGTGTGTTGAAAACTCTAAAATGGATAGCATTCTAAGGAAACACGCTTATAAAGAGTGAATGTCAATGTACTACCAGGGCACACTGGTGACAACACTGCTGTGAAATTCAGCACGGGGTTCAGTTAAGTACAAAACTTATAGTAAAAATTGATATATATACAAGTACTTAGTGTCCCAAATGTTGCTTAATCAGCCCCAAATAAAGTTAGGTAGCCGCACCTGAATTGACAAGATGTGCAAACGTGGGAGACCCGAGCCAAGGACAGTGGGGGTTAAAGTTAGCCGGATGGTGTACAGATCGCACGAGACTTAAATGACACTGGGTGAACGATCGGGCTAGGTGTAGGGAAAACAATTGCTTGAGCTTAGTTGTATCCCATACAGGAAAGTACATGTAATAAAGAGTGGTAAAAAGATAAACGCTCGGCTCTGTACCACAATGGCAATGCACATTGGTCCTAACAGTAATCCGGAAAGGAAAACAAACTAGGCCAAGTGCTGTTTGTGTCAAGATGATACGAAGGGAGAACTTAAATCTCCAAAGACTAACCCTACTAGAAGAGAGGAAGATGGCTACAGCAAATTAGCCAATAATATTCCTCTTGATATGGAATGACTAGATGATGGGGATGGTATTGCAGAAACATTGAGGAAAAATAATGCAAAATATCATGCGAGCTGTAGACTTAGGCTTAACGACACAATGTTGCAAAGAGCCCCCCAAAAGAGCAACTACCTTTGTAGTTGACAGTGATGAAGGTTGCAGAAGTAAGGTACCACGAAAGCCAAAAGACACAAAAACCACAACAGAAAGGTTTATGTGTGACAAGCCAGCACCAGAGAGTGCCCTCAGACAAGCAATGACAGTGAAGCTCAATGACAGACTCAATGAATGTCCAAAGACACTCAGTGACAAAAGACTCCTTGCTAAACTTAGTGCAGGAGATGTAGTGACACAAGAGATGAAATATCATCCTGCTTGCTTAGCTGCACTGTACATTAGCAACCATGATACGCTTCTAGAAAAGTCGACTCCATGCTCCCATGAAAAGGCAGATACTCGCCTCTTTGTACATGCAAGAAAAGTTGTATTGGAAGTCAGTAAAAGAGTTCTCACAAAAGCCAATGACACAAATATTATTGCCATAGCTACATCTGTGTTTACATCACTAGGAGAAATTGGTCTTGAAGAAATGTGGATTTCTTATGGTCAAGGGGCTTATACAAGATGGATTCCTGATGATGAGTTAGTTGTAGCCATAGGGCCTGAAAAGGCCACTGGAATCATATTTTTCCATGCATTCTGTGGTTGTGATGTTGTGTAAGCCTTCCGTGGTATAGGTCTTCAGTAACTTCACCAAACTCAGTCAGTGTCCTACATCAGTTAGTGAAGAAGACCTCCGTGTCTTGGAAAGGTTTGTGGTGGTGATGTCTGACAGTTCAAGTCCAGCTTTATGAGTCAATGGTGCAAGACTTGATTTATTTCCTCGCAAACAGAGATCATATAATGAAATTCCACCAACACGGTCTTCCCTAAAGGAACATGTAAAGCGTGCAGCCTATCAAGGTGGAATGATTTGGGGTCAGGCAACGGTAGCCCAACCAGATATTCTAAGTCCTGCTAACTGGGGCTGGATAAAGAAAGGAGTTGGTGGTACAGCTAAACGCGGAAAACTCTCACCAATATGTCAAGGGTTCGAACCTCGGCCCGGACACACGTGAGAAGGGTGTTATCCAGTGTGTCCCTACCAAACACCACAGGTTTCCCGGTCCCCGGTTTCCTCCTGTACTAACACTGGATAGACCCCAAACGGCTAGTAAGCTGATAAGTGGCGAATATGATATAAAAAAAAGAGGAAATATGTGCAAGAAAGACTGTGGACAATGATGTAAATGTATCTGCACATTCCAGCAGCTGTAAATATGAAATATTTTTTATAACAATATCTCCCCAGGATATGGGCAAAATATAAACATATTTCTCATTGATTAACTAAGAATCGCTTACATGTATCATGAAAAGAAGTAAAAGTATGTGCAGAACCGTTACTTTATGCACAAAACACATATCTGAGGGTTCCAAAACAATCATAATCTGTTCCAGGATGCTTTAAAACATAGGAATAGACATCTTTTGTGCACAGATTGTCCAATAATAAGTCATTATATGTAAAAAATATTTCGGTCAGGACAATTTGGCTGTCATCTTGGAAAATGGCCGCCATCTTGGAATTTTGAATGTCCAATTGGATAGATTTGATAAATAGCCCATATTCAATGCTCAAACCAAATTTCATGCCTGTATGATTATTTGCATGATTGTACCTGTTAGCGCATTTATGATAAATTTAGGTTATACTGTACAGTAGTTACGGTCCTGCCACTCAGTGCCAATACGGGAGCAAATACCTTTTTAACCCCTGCATTTTCCTTCCACATAATATAGTAGTAATCGATTTCATGAATGAGCAGTTGCTTCGTGTTTGTAATATAATTTTCAACTGCAGTTGTGACAATATTAAAGATAACAATAAATTCCTTTCATACTTGATGCTCTTATTTATCATTGCAAATGTATACACTGGCTAAGTAAGCTGAACATAGTATACTCGAATACTGACATCACAAGTTTCCTCCATGTACTACAATAATCTATCCTCCTGTACAATGGACAATCCTGTTCACAAAAAAAAAAAAACTAACAAAGAACAGACAAACCGCCAGAAGTGGTGAAATGATAAATAATAAAAATATATAATTAAATGAATACCTATGGTAGAAAGTAAATCCAGCTGGAATTACTACCACCACTTTCTGCCTGCTAACTCCACCACTACCTGCTACTAGCACCACTACTACCACCACCACCACTGCCTGCTATTAACACCACTGCTACCACCACCATCACGACAGCCTGATACTACCACCACTTCCTGCTACAAAGAACGCTACTTTTTTTTTTTTTTTTTTTAAATCGTGGCCTCCAGCCTCCCCCAATAGCCACACCTTCGCCACCATTTATTTACCTCAATATTAAATATCCTAATACATAAGAAACTATCCTATCTGTGTTAAATTAGTTGAGCCGCAGATCCATGCGGCATTCAGTGACTGTAGCCTCATAGTCGATATCTGCAGCAGTTGTCGGAGTAGGGGCAGAAGCTCTCATTCCCCTGAGGCAGAGCAAAGCCGACCGAAGGAGAGAGAAGGACAGTCGACATCTCATCCAGGCTGTGACATAACTTCTGGGCTGCTGCTTCTGTTCGGAGATCAGCTCCGCGAGTCTGGCGTAGAAACATCTTGCACTTGGGCCCATCCCACCAGAGGTTGTGAACACTAGAGGAGTGAAGCTGCCTTGATCAACGTTTTGAATTCTCTCCCCATATGCCCTTCTCTTGTCGTTCTCGTTCCTCCTATGCGCAGCATCGAGAGTTAGGTTACGGTGACAAACGGCCATGGGATAAAAAATCCTGATGTCGAAGAAAGCTCGCTGTCCCCGAGTCCAGAATCCTCGAGCACTGACATCCACACGGGCTTCGTTAGATGTGTTTGAAGTCCTGTGTTGGAAGATCTCGCCATCCAGTGGAAGGAGGGTCGGTTCTACCATGACGTCCCGGCAGATTTCCTTCAACATATTTGCTGTGAGATCCCTTACCTCGTCATGCCTCATGCATATGAAGCCCCCCTTCTTGCAAACCATGGCGTGATCGCCATCATAGGAAGAGCCACACACGCATTGGGAGGGCAAACCATCTACTGGCCAACCGTACCTTAGAGCAATGGCATCTGTAAATTCTTGTTTGTTAAGGCTGAAACCAT